TTTTTTTTTTTTTTTTTTTTTTTTTTTACAATTTTTTGTAATGAAGGTTATATTGAAAAATGAAAAATTTTAAATAACTATTTTTTTTAGAAAGAATAATAAACGGAGAAAAATTACCTACGGATTGTAAATCAAACAGATACGTCTCCGTCATGGTGAGTCAAACTTTGCGGACTCAAACTTTGATTCACAAAGAACGAGACATTCAAACTAAACCAAACATAAGTACACCTAAAAAGGTTTCAGAATTCCTTCAAGTTCTTGTCACTTCAAAGTACCATAGATGCTAACATGGAAAGCAAAAAAAACAAAGCCATTGCCTATTTCTTTCATCTGCTTGGAATCCCTTCTCTTCATAACTCAGTGGTCTGGATAGCCCCAAGGTGTATGGAACAATTTTATATACAATCTTCAGCGTTTCGCTCGAGTAGGTATTGTACATGCCCAAACTCTACTGGTAGGGATTGCTTAGGTATCACGGTAGATCGGTTGCGGCATCCATTTGAGGTGTAAGTTTAACCGTCCTGACTTGGCTCCATCGAGTTCGAACGATTCCTTGTATTCTCCTTCTAGTATTACTCTTGTAAGTGTCAAAATACATCTTCCCATATAATCCTGATTGTGCCAAGAACAAGTTAAAAAAATATCAATTCGAGTAGAGCTCATAGACACGACACCAATTACCATCTCAAAGGTGGATGGTGGATGGTTTGATCCTCTAAAAATTTTAAAAAATCAAAGATATGTTAAAAGCATCTGGATAACAACATTTTAGCTTGAAAGGTGTAACAGTCAAGCCCACTGTTAGCAGAAATTTTTCTCTTTGGATTTTCCCTCTCGGGATTCCCCTCAAGGTTTTAAAACGTGTCTACGAGGTAGAGGTTTCCACATCCTTGTAAAGAATGTTTTGTTTTGTTCTCCTCTCCAACCGATGTGAAATCTCACAATCTACTCCCCTTTGGAGTTCAGCGTCTTTGCTGGCACACCGCCCAGTATTTGACTCTGATACCATTTGAAACAACCTAAGCCCACCGCTAATGGATATTGTTTTCTTTGGGCATTCCCTATTGGGCTTCCTCTCAAGGTTTTAAAATCCATCGAAGAGGTTTCCACATCCTTGTAAAGAATGTTTTGTTCCCCTCTCCAACCGATGTGAGATCTCACAATCCATTCCCCTTCGGGGCTCACCATTCTCACTTGCACACCGCCCGGTGTTTGGCTCTGATACCATTTATAATAGCTCAAGCCCACCGCTAGTAGATATTGTCCTCTTTGGGCTTTCTCTTCCAAACTTCCCCTCAAGGTTTTAAAGAATGTTTCGTTCTCCTCTCCAACCGACGTGAGATCTCACAATCCACCCTCCTTCGGGGCTCAGTGTCCTCGCTGGCACACCGCCTGGTGTCCACCCCCTTCGAGGCTCACCGTCCTCACTGGCACATGCCCAGTGTCTACCTTTGTTACCAAATAGTCCAAGGCCACCGCTAGCAGATATTGTCCTCTTTGGGCTTTTCCTTCCGGGCTTCCCTCAAGGTTTTAAAACGCATCTACTCGGGAGAGGTTTCCACACCCTTATAAAGAATGCTTTGTTCTCCCTCTCCAACCGATGTGAGATCTCACCCAACGAAATGCGAAAAATAGGCAATAATAATAGAGTGATGCCTGACCTTCCCAAAAGTGTCATGATCCCAAACTTCAGCAATTAGCATATCATGTAATCCATCTTCAACAACAAAGTCAAATGTCTGATTCCATACAGGATTTAAGCTCTCATTCACAACCTGAAAAAGAAACCAAGGATTAAAAAAGAGGCCATTTTAAGCCAAGGATCACAGAAGGAGAACGAGAGGGCCAACAGGGTAGGAGCCTTACCCTTGTTTTGTTCTTCATTTCTGATTTTTTCATGGTGAGTACAACATATGGGTCAGATTTTCCTACCATGTCTGTTGCAGGCAAGTCTTCTGCAGATATTACTGTCACACAAAGTACTCCTCTAATAATAACCTCCTTCCTCTTCTGTGTGGCAGCTTGTTCGCTTTCGGTAGCTTCCGTTCCATTTGTCCGACTTTTTAGTACACTCTCCAAGGAAGTCATTGAAAAATCGGGGGCAAACGGATTTGTAAACCCATTTTCCATACCGAACGGACAGTATAGGAGCTCCAAGTGCACCTTATATAGACAGACATTCAGAAAATCACAAAAGGAATGCACATATCATTAAGAGAAACAGGAAGTCTTCTTAGCAGAATCAAGGGATTGCTTTACGTCGTTTTGATTTAATCAGCGTATTACGTAGGAAAATGACGAGTATCATGAACGTTAAAGGTAGATAGTACACAAAGACGTTTAGTATAAAGTGGATGAGTGGACTCAGATATTGACACCAATAAGCAAAGGATTCATTTAACGAGCAATTTAATTGTTTCCCATCAACAACTACGAGTTCGGGTTTTGTGGCTTTCTATACTTTGAAAAACTAGGTTAAGAGGCTAAACTGAAATGATAGAGTTGATGAGGAAATCATTTAGCCTGATATTTTGGTTCCAAAAACCAATTCCAATTGAATGAGAGGTGAGATCCCACATCAGTTGTGGAGGAGAACGAAGCATTTTTTATAAGGGTGTAGAAACCTCTCCCTTGCAGACGCGTTTCAAAACTTTGAGGGGAAGCCCGAAAGAGAAAGCTCAAAGAGAACAATATCTGCTAGTAGTGGGCTTGGACCCTTACAAATGGTATTAGAATCAGACACGGGGTAATGTGCCAACAAGGAGACTAAGTCCCGAAGGGGGGTGGACATGAGGCGGTGTGCCAACAAGGACGCTGGACCCCGAAGGGGAATGGATTGGTGGGTCCCACATCGATTGGAGAAGGAAACGAATATCAGCAAGGACACTGGGCCCCGAAGGAGGGGGAGGGGGGAGGTGGATTGTGAGATCCCACATCGGTTGGGGAGGAGAACAAAACATTCTTTATAAGGGTGTGAAAACCTCTCCTAGCATACGCGTTTTAAAACTTTGAGGGGAAGCCCGAAAGGGACAGCCCAAAGAGGACAATATCTGTTAGCAGTAGGCTTGGACCGTTACAAAGAGATTCTAGAAACATGCAGCAAAAGTTTCATCCTAAGCAGATTGATGGTTTTATTTATTTATTTTCCGTGTCGAGTGTCGGGGAGATTCAAGGTGTTGTTACCTGCCCCCTGTTCTTATTATCTCTGTGAACCTCCAGATCTTTAACCAGCTTCAACCACACATCTTTTACCTTGCCCGGTTGAAGTTCACTTAACCGCATCTGAGCACACCCTATAAGCTCAGAAGCCTGAAGTCCTTCATCATCATACACTTTCACAACCAAATTTTGTGTGGATTCATCTTCAACAACGAACTCGAAGTGTTCGTTCCACACGGGATTCAAGTCATTGTTCTACAAAAGAAACAATCTTAATTTATATCATGTCCAATAAACAAAAGAGAGGATAAAGCAAAAGAGGAGTAAAATAACTCACAATTATTTTGCTCGTTTTCATTCGGTCACGAAGCGGCCGTATATATAATACCGCATAGGGATCAGATTTTCCAATCATATCTTTATTCGTTAACTCTTTCGCCTGCACAAGTTTCACCTCCAGGATCCCAACAGGTTTCAATTCCAGGTCACTGAAAAAGGAAAAGGGAGGTTTGTGATGATTTTAAAATCTTTTATACTAGGTAATATAGTATCCTTATGTATGAAGATAATCAACTCGGTCATTGTGGTCGGACTCTATTATGGATTTCTGACCACATTCTCCATAGGGTTCTCTTATCTCTTCCTTCTCCAAGCTCGGGTTATGGAAGAAGGAACCGAGAAGAAAGAATCAGCAACAACAGGTTTTATAACAGGACAACTCATGATGTTCATATCGATCTATAATGCACCTTAGCATCTAGCATAGGGTAGACTACGACAACTGTCCTAGCTCTACTTCTACTGTATCTTTTGTTTCAAGTTGACCAACAAGTTAAAAAATGCAAGTCCCCTGTAATGAACAAAGGCCACAAGACGTCGTGGCTAGTTCGTACGTTTCCTTTTGTCATACCTGTAATCACCAGGAATTATAGGGATAACTTTCCTAACAGGCCATGTAATAGAATCTTCAACAGCATCTCGAATCGTTCCCTGCGTTAACATATAAGCCTTATGTTAAATCTATCTCGAAATGAAATTTAAAACTCGATTCTCCATGGACAATCAGTAAGAGCGTAACATTCACAAGGGAAACTAAACCAGCGATTATGATGACGAACAACGATCATACCTCGAGTGCACTGTAAAGCCCAGGTATTGCTGATATGTCCCCACCAATAACTTTAAGTGTAAAGTCCAACTTTTTCTGTTAAGAAATGGTTAATAGTTCATCATATTGGCTGCTTGTTTATAATGAACTTTCCCTTACGTATTAGTAGAAAATTATTGGATACCTTTTGACGCAGAGAAAAACAAACGGCGCCAAAGCACGGAAATTCGTCGACCAGAGGCTTCAATATCAACCTAAAAACGCCTGTGAATCCAAGGTTTTTTACCTGAACAGATAAATATCAAAGGTAACTATATACTTCCAGGAACAAAATAAGTGGTTAAAAGGCAAACCGGCACTCATCCAGGTACTGTCCTCTTTGAGCTTTCCTGGAGATAGTATCTGGATGAGTATCGGTTCCGTTGTGTAACTCTAAAAGACATGTTTCAAAATTTTTTAGGGAAAGCCCAACGAGGACAATATCTGCTAGCGATGAATTTGGGGCGATGAATCTATTATTACATAACTTTATTATTCCCCCCTTGAGCCTCCAACTTTTGTGACTTGAACCATGCTGCTCAATGAGCTTTCCAGTAAGAATCTTGTCTATGTGGGAATACGTACTTAAAACACGAATTTCGGAAGATTGTCTAACTTTAAGCTTCGACTTTTTACAAACAAGTATTGGAAAAAAGAGTTCATTCATCACTTGCTTCATTGCTAGTTCATCCAAAAAGAAGATATCAATGTCAATTCGTTGCATAAGTGAGGGACGATTGGCTAGAAATACCTGCACTGGTAGTGCAACACCGAGTCGAGTCTTTATATCGAGTATTATACTTTGATTACCATCCCACTGCATTTCCAACTCCATGGTTATACCATCAGTTCCTCCATCTTCAATTATAGAAATTCCTGACATATAGAATAGGACAGCAAGAACTCCATATAAACTTTAGAACAGAGTGTTTATAGACTTAATTTCTGATAACATTACTTGGAATGAAAGAAGGAAAAAAGGAAACACCCATTAATTTCAAACAAAATGCTTGTACGATCCTCCACAATGGTATGATATTGTCCACTTTGAGCATTAGCTCTCGTGGCTTTGCTTTTGGTTTTCCCCAAAAGACCTCATACCAATGGAGATGTATTCCTTACTTATAAACTCATGATCAACCCCTTAATTAGCCGACGTGGGACTCCTCTCCCAACCATCCTCAACAATGCTAACTTTTGTTTTTGATAATTGAGGTAAGTACGTTTATGCCCTCCCCACTGGTTTCTTTGGAAGAATTTGTGAGATCCCAAATCGGTTGGGGAGGAGAACGGAACACCCTTTATAAGGGTGTGTAAACCTCTCCCTGGTAGACACGTTTTAAAAACTTTGAGGGGAAGCCCGAAAGGGAAAGCCCAAAGAGAACAATATCTGTTAGCGGTGGGCTTGGACCATTGCAAATGGCATTAGAGCCCAAAGAGGGCAATACCAACGAGGAGGCAAAGCCCCGAAGTGGGGTGGATTTGGCAGGGGTCCCACATTGATTATAGAAAGGAACGAGTGCTAGTGAGGACGTTGGACCTCGAAGGGGGTGGATTGTGAGATCCCATATCGGTTGGGGAGGAGAACGAAACACCCTTTATTGTGAGATCCCACATCGATTGGGGAGGAGAACGAAACACCCTTTATAAGGGTGTGTAAACCTCTTCCTGGCAGACACGTTTTAAAAACTTTGAGGGGAAGTCCGAAAGGAAAAGTCCAAAGAGAACAATATCTGTTAGCGGTGTGCTTGGGCCATCACAAATGGTATCAAAGCCAGACACCAGGCGATGTGCCAGCAAGGACACTAGGCCCTGAAGGGGGATGGATTTGGTGGGGGTCCCACCTCGATTAGAGAAAGGAACGAGTGCCAGCGAGGACGCTAGGCCTCGAAGGGGGTAGATTGTGAGATCCCACATTGGTTGTGGAGAAGAACGAAACACCCTTCATAAGGGGTGTGGAAACCTCTCCCTAGCATACGCATTTTAAAAACCTTGAGGAGAAACCCGAAAGGGAAAGCTCAAAGAGGACAATATCTACTAGCGGAGGGTTTGAGCCGTTACAGAATTTGTCAACCTTGACGGTATCGAGAGACGATGAGAGTTTTAAGTTATAAAGTTTTTAAAGTTAAGAACTAGGATTTAGGTCTTTCTAAACATCTCTAGCCCTTGTTGCAAGGCCAAACTTCACATAAGAGGCCAACGTTTGAAGTAGGAACATAAAATACAAGTGTATTACGGCATTGAAAGCAACCCAATGAGTGAAAAATCATGCAAAACAAGAGAAATCCAAGTCTACAAACCACAAAATCATCAACCCCACCTCCCCAACATGAACAAACCTGTGAATTGTGGAGCCACAGTGCCAAGGGTGAACCTGGAAAACTTGAGTGATGACAGAATGATAGGCCTATATTGTTCAAGAACAGGCTCTACTGAAGCCTTTATCAGATCAGAAGCAGCCTATTACACAAAATTCAACAAGGTAAAAAAGGGACCAACACATCAAGAACAAAACCCAGAAACAAAAACAAAAACAAAATCTACCTCATTAACATACGGCCAAATCTTGGTAAGATGCTGATTGAGCCAAGTCAACTGCAAAATGGGGCAACAGATCCAATGTCAATCCACCATGAACAGGAAACCTCATGAACTTCATCCAAAAGTGAAACAAGAGGGAAAAGTTAGAAGAAAACTCAACTTTTGGCTCTGGGAAAAGACGACCCAAGAGGGATAATACTGAGGAGGCAAGATCTTCCTCGAATCTTCCACTGTCATTCTGGCAAAAGCAGTGGTTGTAGCAGCAAGATCAGCCCGTCGCTTCGACCGAGCATTCTCGGACTTCACAAAACCCACGACAAGACCTAGTCCGACAAACACACCCAGCACGAGACCTAGCACAAACGCCATTTGAGCTACTCTGTGCGAACTTCAGTGGATTTGGGGACAAAACTTTGATGGGGTCTAAAGGAACTGGGTGAAAAATAAGACGATCAAGCAAGAACCCAAGAAAGTAGACATTTCATGTAGAAAGAGAGAAATCGGGAGAGGAATTGAAGAACTGGGAAGATTAAGGTTAGGGGAGAGGAATATGCTCAAACCATTTTGGCAGCGTGATTGGCGTGTGGTCGATGAAATCGAGCTGGAATTGGACGGACGAGTATACTTTTCCTGAGTGTCGCTATTCCGGCAGCCGATTAAACCGTGTTGCCGACACGAAAACGTCGGGATTGGATCTCTCTCTCTCTCTCTCTGTTAATAAAGGGTTGGTTTTTAGCCTTTTATTAATAAGAACACATAAAATCAATGAATTTCAATAGGGTATGATGAGGAACAAATAAAAATGCGTACTTTTCTTAGATAAGGGAGCGGAAAATGGATCTTGCTGAATGCTGCTGTACCCATTATGATTTGGTGATGAATAGTTAATCAAAATATATTTCAGTGAAATTTATGCTTGAAAAGTCTAAGCAATTACTTTGTGTATTTTAATTTATTCGCCCTTTCATATCAACTCAGCGAATATGGGACAGTACAAAAGCTCAAAAATTTAAGAACATTGATTCGAGATTAGGACCAATTGGCTGAGAAAATAGTTAAAGAGGCTACTACAAATGATTGACAGTTTTGCACGATTAGATATATAAAAGATGGTTAGGACTACTCAAGAAGATCGGCATTCGTGACCAACTGCTTCTCGTCACTTTTTCAAATTCTAAATCCTTCTCTCAGGTTTGTTGCTCCTCTCGGGATATTTCTTAACAAAAAATTGATCCAAGCGACCATTATCAATTATTTTAAGTCTGTTTTTTTTTTTTTTTTTTTATTACCATAATTGCCCCAACTTAAACGAGGTTGTCGTATTTTTGGTAGGTAAATGTAATAATAGCAATGCTCTTTTTATTGTGCATCATTTTCTAAGATAGGTTGTACATTAAATGTGGACAAAATTCAACAAATAATTCAATTATAGCCCATAATTGTTCATGAGAGGCCCAGGACCAATTACTTTTTATTTCATTTTTTTTATAATTATTCAATTATATTATAAGTTGAGTTATTAAGTTTTTAGGTTTAAATGATCTATTAAATATAATAATTGAATTTTATGCGATATTCGAGTAAGAGAGTACATAAATGAACCAAGATTACTTCTAAATGAGAGTGTTGGATGATGAAAGTCCCACATCGGTTAATTTAGGGAATGGTCATGGGTTTATAATCTAAGAATACACTCTCCATTGGTATGAGGCCTTTTGGGAAGCCCAAAGCAAAGCCATGAGAGCTTATGCTCAAAGTGGACAATATCATACCATTGTGGAGAGTCGTGTTCGTCTAACAGAGAGCATTCCCAAATATGGAAGGACTAAAAAATATTTAAAACAGTTGAAAGTTACTATCTATACCAGCAAGATACATCTTCATTGGTTAAATGTGCAGAAAACTCTATGTTGGATGACCTCTTAAGAAATTTTCTTAGATGCATGTGAATGAGGACATAACATTTGTGTTGGTCTGTGGGGACTATCGTACGAGGAGTGGTCTATGTTGGATGACCTCTTAAGAAATTTTCTTAGATGCATGTGAATGAGGACATAACATTTGTGTTGGTCTGTGGGGACTATCGTACGAGGAGTGGGTAACGTGCATACCACAAGGAAATGCCCGAAACCCATAGATTGGACATTCCGATGAACTCGAAGAATTAAAAAGAAAAAGAAAAAAAAAGGAAAATGACAAATGGAATAAACCAAATAAGACCAATCAATGGCTAAAAATCTTCAACCTTAAGCCAAGAAAAATAATAATTATGGATTGTTATTTTTGGATAAAGACATAAAGCAAAAGACACAATAAATATATAATTACTAAATTCCCAAATATATTCCTTTTCCATCTTGTTTTGATAAAATTGAAAGAAAAAAAAAAGGAATATTATTATATAATTTAATTTTTGAAAAATTAATTTTTTCAATTGTTTAAAAATCTTAATATAAAATTTTAATTTCATGAAATTATATTTCAAGCTTAAATAAATATTATAATCTTAATTTTAAACTTTTAAATTGAAACGTTTTAAAAAGTACATATGTGGTTACTGAATTGTACAACATTTATTAGGTGAGTTCATCGATTGGGATGAGGAATAATTGCTTCTCAGAAATCATCTGCCAATTCTTCATCGCAGGTCGCCATTGTTGGGGCTAATGTCTGCTCCCATTAAGAGCCTTGATTACGAGTGAGTTGAGTTATTTGTTTGGGTTTTCTTCTTTTCCCCTCTTTTGGATTTTGAATTCTGTTTAATGGATTTAGGGTTTATGTAAACCCTATTTCTGGGTTTGATTAGGGTTATTCTTTTTTTTTTTTTGTTTGGTTTTAAACTCTGCTATTGATGTTGTTAGTTTCGGGATTTTTTATAATGAGTTATTCGTGCAAGATTGGAGGAATCGTGAGGATTTCCAGATATTTCTATTACTTGGTTATGAAGTGGCTTTCATGCTTCTTGATCTGTTTGATAATGGGTCTTGTTGGTTTTTGAAGCAACCTGGCAGTGGAAAATATTGCAGGGAAGAAGTTTGTGATAACTTCGAATATTATGATGCGTTAGGAATTATAACCCTCCACAATGGTATGATATTGTCCACTTTGAGTATAATCTCTCGTGGCTTTGCTTTGGGCTTTTCCAAAAGGCCTCGTACCAATTGAGATGTATTCCTTACTTATACACCGTGATTATTCCCTAAATTAGCGAACGTGGGACTCCCTCAACAGAGGACAGGTACTGATTTCACTTATGTTCTTCTGTGCTACTGTTGATTGAAATCTTTGCAACCTGTTCTATTAGTTTTAGTGGAATTTGGCTCAAGTAGGAATAGGATTGATGTTACTAGGAACAGAGTTTTTTGGTTATTGAGTAGTAATTATATGGGAACTTAGCCAACAGACATGCATGATAACTGGCTTAAGCTCTAGGTTTTGAAAGAAAAGCTGTGTTAAAGGGAAGCTAAACTATTTTTCCAAACTGGAATATGAAAGTTGTGAGATTCCACGTTGATTGGAGAGGGGAACGAAGTATTCTTTATAAGGTTATGGAAATCTCTCCCTAGCATACACGTTTTAAAAACCTTGAGGGGAAGCTCGATAGGAAAAGTCCAAAGAGAACAATACCTGCTAGTGGTGAGCTTGGGCGGTTATAAATGGTATCAGAGCCAGATATCGGTCGGTGTGCCAGTGAGGACGGTAAGCCCCGTAGGGGGGTGGACACCGGGTGGTGTGCCAAGGAGGACGCTGAGCCCTTAAGGGAAGTAGATTGTGATATCCTATATCGATTGGAGAGAGAAACGAAACATTCTTTGTAAGGGTGTGGAAACCTCTCCCTAGTAGACGCGTTATAAAATTTTTGAGAGAAAGCTCAAAAAAGATAATATCTACTAGCGCTGAGCTTGAGCTGTTACAAATCTTTTAGGTACGGGGTGGCTTTTATAGTCGGCTCAGGTAGACTAGAAGTAAAGGCTTACCTGAATGGCGTAGCTGCCCCTGGAATATTATGGGCTCCGACACTGTTAGTGAAGATAAAACAGTTCCTTGTACATTTTCGCTTGAGTTTCAGAATTTCCTAGTTTCTTCAGGGCTTGTACTTGTAAGTTGTGGGGTTGCTCCTTTGTTTTGAAGCATTGATAATGATTTGGAATTCCTCTTTTGCTGTTCCTTCGTTCTATGTTGTTCTGAAGTTACTCTCAAACTCTCTTAAACAAAGAGCCAAGTAATTCATGGTGGTTTCTCTTTTGCAAACTTTTGTGCTAGACCAGTCGAGGAGATGCACAATGATTGATTTCTTCAATACTGATGATGAGCAGTGGAAGCTTATTACGAGCTAGTTTAGTAATCTTCCTATTTGTTTGGATCGAGAATAGGATTCTTCCCCGACTCTCCACAATGGTACGATATTGTCCAATTTGAGCATAAGCTCTCATGGGTTTGCTTTTAGTTTTCTCAAAAAGTCTCGTACTAATGAAGATGTATTACTTATAAACTCATGATTAACCCCTTAATTAGCCGATGTGAGACTCTTCTCTCAACAATTCTCAACAATCCTCCTCTCGAACAAAGTATACCATAGAGCCTCCCTTGAGACTATGGAGCCCTTGAATAGCCTCCCCTTAATCGAAACTCGGCTCCTTTGGAACCCACGAATAAAATACACAATTTTTTGACACTTGAGTCACTTTGGACTACATCTTCAAGGCTCACAACTACTTTATTCGACATTTGATAATTCTATTGACATGACTAAGTTAAGGGCATGACTTTGATACCATGTTAGGAACCAAGACTCTTCACAATGGTATGATATTATCCACCTTGAACATAGACTTTCATGACTTTGCTTTTGGTTTTTCTGAAAGGCCTCGTACCAACGTAGATACATTCATTACTTATAAACTCATGAATTCGCAGATGTAGAACTCTTCTCCCAACAATCCTCAACATGTGTTGCATCCTTGGTACCAGGTCGGGGTTTCATATCTCGAGATTTTGTTACATATGGAGTGCTTTTCGTGCTCCTGTTGGTGGTGTACTATTTGCTTTTGAAGAGATGGCATCTTGGTATGTATTATTCCCTTGTCTAGAAAGCCATGTTGAGCCATACATGAGGCTGGTAGACTGTCGCCGATGTGTTAACGAGTCGAGGATGTTGAAAAAGAGGATACTTCTAAGCTATTCGTTGATGATTTTGCAAAGAAGGGGTCAGAGACGTTGAAAGGATTGAACATGTACAATTGATCGAAGACGAGATGGAGATGGTCAATGATGGTAGCGAATTTGTGAGAAAATAAATATAATTTTCAAAAATAAAAAATCTAAATTATCATTAAAAATAAAAAAAAATAATAAAAAGTACAATTTCCAAAGATATTGCAATTGGAGCCTCTCTCTCTTGAGATATTTGTGAATCTCTATACATTGCTTGAAGTTCAATTAAAGTTGGGGGCAGCCACATCAAGAACTTTGTGACCCAAGATCCTAAATTTAAGTTCTATTTTCTAATTATATATATTATATAAAAGAAGTTTGAAAAAACTAATTCAACCCTTAAAAATTTTCATTTCGAGTTGATAATTCAATCCAAATTGTTTGGCTTGGATAGACCAAGTTTTTCAGATCATCACGTCAAATTCCTATAATTATGAAACCCATATGAGAGACGGAGGAATAAGCGATTCTTTTTTTTAAATTGCGTTGACCCGAAGATGTTGAAGCTGCATAGATTATTTGAATTATGCCTACTATGATCAACCAGGGTGAAAAAATAGAATGGGCGTGGGGTAATAATTCCATATTGATCCGAACCAATCCATATGCTCCCATTTTTAATAAGATTCCGGCTAGAAGCATACAAGTACTGTAATGTGCCTCTCCGTGGGTATCTGGTAACCATGTATGTAAGGGTATAATCGGTGATTTGACAGCAAAAGCAATAACAAATCCGATATAGAATATTATTTCCAGTGCTATAGGATACGATTGATTAGCCGATGTTTCAAAATTTAAAGTTGGTTCATTAGAACCATATAAAACTTAAAATGAATTGTAATGTTTTTTTTAATTAACTATTTATTTGATTAGCTCATTTATTAGTATATAATAATTTTGAAGGATAATTAATTGATTCAAATTAAAATTCTAGTTAATAATAATAAATTATAATTAATAAAAAATAATTAAGTGTCCTAGTGTAATAATTATTTTATACTTAATTTTTTTTATTATTAATAAATTATTATAAATGCATCAGATCTATAAATATATCACATTTATTATAATTTACTCTACCATATATAATATTAGATTTTAGATTTTTTACATGGTACAAATTATATATTTTAAAATTTTAATAAAATTATTTATTTGAAGATAATTATTAAGATGATTACAAAAATAATAATAATAATAATAATAATAATTAATTAATTAATTATTTAACTTAATAAAAATAAAATAAAATAATTAATGACAAATAATCATTGAAAATACTTCATTTATATGAAATTTAACATTTCTCATCCAACACCAAATTCAATTATTTGATACATTTTATGAATACATTTTATTCTCAGACTTCATAAACAAAACGTTCAACCAAATGCCTCCAAGATTAAACTAACGACTAACTTATAAAAGTCATATCCAACTTAACGCACATAATTTTCAAATACTTGTCTATACGATATTCGTCAACATTTTAAGTCGGTATCTTGAGCAAACCAAAGTGACTTGAGTAAGGAGTATTCAGATATCAAGATTTTTCATATCTTCACGAAGTGGGTATCTAAAGGTCAATCATCTCATGTAAACAAAATGAAGTAGAAAACTATATTTTTGTAGATTAATTTTTAATTAAAATTGTAAATCTGAGTTCTTAAGAACTCTTATTTAAGGTACCGGTGTCTACAAGCATCACTTTTTTCCAAGCAATGTCTCCACCATATCATTCAACGCAATGCATTAATTAATCAGCACATCGATTTTAGAAGAAGGAAGAATTTCTAACCTTTTTGTGCCTGCAATCTCTTCAGTTTCTCTTTCAAAAGCTTAGAGCAAGAGAGAGAGCTTGAAGAGTTCAGCCATGGCAAGCTTCCGCTGCTTGTTACTCCCAGCATGCCTTCTTCTTCTTCTTCTTCTTTTTGTTCTTCTGTTTCTCTCTATTCCGCCATTGTTGGACCTGTCACAAGTAACTGAAGCTATTCCATTAGCATCTTTCTTTCCTATAACTACCATGAGAGAAGGCAACAAGCCCATGAAAGCTATATTCATCAAAGTAAGCATGAAAGAAGAAAAGCTCTCCCTTTCAGTTCTTTTGCTTTTGTGTGTGTGTGTTTTGGTTTTCATAATGGGTTTGTGTAGCAGAAGAAGAAGACGAGCTTGAGGATGATCGAAGCAAGTTTGGCTGAAGCTCGAGCATCGATTCGAAATGCAGTTCGGTGGAAAAACTTCACATCAGAGAAGAAAGAAACTTACATTCCCAGAGGCTCCATTTACCGAAATCCTTATGCTTTTCATCAGTTGAGTTTTTCCTACTGAAAAAAGAACAAACATATGAATATATGATATAAAGTTTGACTGATTTGATGAACTAAGCTTAAAGTGTAATATCCAAAATGTTATGCAGAAGCCATATAGAAATGGTGGAGAGGTTCAAGGTATGGAGTTACAGAGAAGGGGAACAGCCTCTGGTTCATGATGGTCCATTGAATAGCATATACGCCATTGAAGGCCAATTTATAGATGAGTTAGATTGCAGCAAGAGCCCTTTTAGAGCCAGCCATCCTGATCAAGCTCATGTATTTCTTCTTCCTATGAGCATTACCAACATCATTCATTTCATTTACAGACCAATTACCTCTCCAGCCGACTACAACCGTGATCGGATGCACCGTGTGATAACTGATTACATTCGAGTCATTACCAACAGGTATCCATATTGGAACCGAAGCGAAGGTGCTGATCATTTTATGGTTTCATGCCATGATTGGGTAAATAAGATTCAACCAACTTGTTATCAAGTCTCTGTTTCTTCTTTTTCTAATGCTTCCTCTAAACTTTTAATGGTGATTTCAAGGCACCAGAAATGTCAGATGCCAACCCCCAATTGTTCAAGAACTTCATCAGGGTAGTATGCAATGCAAACATCACAGAAGGCTTTCGTCCTGACATAGACATTTCACTCCCAGAAATCAACATCCATCCTGGAACGTTAGGGCCACCTGACTTAGGCCAGCCACCAGAAAGCCGCACAATTCTAGCTTTCTTCGCTGGAGGAGCTCATGGATACATAAGGAAGATCATGATCCAGCATTGGAAGGAAAAAGACAAAGAAGTTCAAGTTCATGAATACCTTCCTAAGAACCAAAATTACACCAAACTGATTGGAAAAAGCAAGTTTTGTCTCTGCCCGAGTGGCTATGAAGTGGCAAGCCCGAGGGTGGTGGAAGCCATCTATGGTGGTTGTGTTCCGGTGATCATTTCTGATAATTATTCATTACCATTCAGCGACGTTCTAGATTGGAGTCGGTTTTCGGTGCAGATACCTGTTAAGAAAATACCAGAAATAAAAACAATCTTGAAGGCTATCTCAGAAGAGAAGTATTTGAAGATGTACAAAGGAGTGATGAAAGTAAAGCGGCATTTCAAGATAAATAGGCCTGCTAAGCCATTTGATGTAATTCATATGCTGCTTCATTCACTGTGGCTTAGAAGGCTTAACTTTGGCCTTCCTCATTGAAAACAGCTTTGATTAGGCAAAATTCAAAAACCCATTTGCTATAGTTAGAATGAGAGAGAGAGAGGATTCTGTACCTTGTGAAACATCAATTAGCATTCTTTCGAGTTCCTTGCAAGATTTTCATCAGCACGATCTTATAGTAACTGTTGGCCTGTTAAAGATCATAACAGAGAATAGAGAGATCAAATATAATTGCTCACAAATGAGTATGAGTGAGTCTTGCCAAAACGTACATAGTTAAACGACAACTACGTATATTTCAAGATCATAGGTTACTATGCAAAGAAGTCATGTTTCGCACAGGTTTTAAAAAACAATACATACAAGAATTCCTTTCCATCATCTTCATGGGACACTTTTTATTGGGGGAATTACCAGTTACAAAACAACCAATCAAAATGTAGAGCATGTCAAGAAACAGAGACCAGCTAAAATCTCATTCCAATAAAACTGGTCTCTCAATTGGTGACGGAGACCAATATCTCTCTTCAACCTCAATTCAACCTGTAAAGAAATTGGAGTACAAAAGCTATGGTGAACAAGAGATTTTAAAGGATATAGATGATTCCACAGCCTAATAAATACACAGAAGACACTGAGGTCTAGGCTCTAATATTCCATTTTTACAAGTGCATCAGAAACTTCTGCAAATTCAGATTGGATCCAGTCCCGTGTACATATAATTGCTTCGACAGTAGCAGGTCGCAATGAACTTCGATATGGATCCATCTCCTTAATCTCCATATCAAATATTGATTCAGGGGGAAGAGTACAAACTGGTATTGATAAAATATCACGAGCCATTGTTGAAAGAGTTGGATACTTCATCTTGTTTTGCTTCCACCAGCCTAATAAGTCAAAGTCCTGCACACGAGGCAGCAGCGACTCGGCCAAATACTGATCAAGTTCGGATTTCATTTGCTGGCTCGAAGTCTCCATTATGAAGACATCAAAATCTGTGAGTCCAGTGTCTGACAGAAGACTCTCACTCTGAAGTCCTTCTGACTTGACGTTGTTTCCTCCATTCCCTTCATCGGCGTAAGTTGGCGTTAGAGGCAACGGAAGTGTGACGTATTCATGGAAGAGCTCGTGGATCCCATCGTCAACAATCTTAATGTAAGCAGGAGCTTCTTCAGCATAAAGTTTATTGAAACTAAACTCTACAAGTTTCATCTTGAAACGAGGATCCATAACTACAGCTGCAGCCAAAATTAGACCACAATCCTTCCAATATTTGTTGATCTTTTCTTGCATCATTTGAGAGAGGCTGCAAGTGAATGGGTCTTCGCTGGCAAGTGCTCGAGCAAGCTCCAAGTGAATCCTCCATACTTCATGGAAAAACGTAATCACGGTTGGGTTGCTTATAGTGCTGAGAATGCTTGCAGCATCAAAGAGAACTTTCAAACATGTGCAAAGAGTCTCAACTTGCATCCAATCATCCCTTGTTGGCACTTCTTTATAATCGGGATCAGAATTATCCAGACACGAAAACACTTCTTTCAGCTCAAGTGCAGCAATCAGCATAAAATAAGTTGTGTTCCATTGTGTTAGGTCGTCCAGACAAAGGCTTCTCTCTGTTGGGACCTGAAGCTGTTCTTTGAGCTCAAGAAACTTTGCTTCATTAGACTCGGACAACTTTACATTCTTTACACAATCCCGAATTTTCTTAACAATGACCGATCCCGCAGTTAACACATCATTTGCAATACTGCTTAATGTACGAGCAATGCATTTACTAACCAAAAATTGGCCATTCAGGATAAGGGAGTTTTTTATAGCAAGCAGGGGCCTCAAATTTCCAAGTGCAGACTCAGTGGCATGGTGATCAAAGGTGAGAGAAAATAGTTTACCTTCCAAATTCCAATCAGAAAGGCACTCTGAAACTGCATGACTTAGGGCTGTATCAGAATCAGGATATGGTTCCATGACCACGCTGAGAATCCGCCTGTGCAGCTTCCAATCGCTATCCACAAAATGACCTGTTATTACAGCATAAGCGACGGTTTTACTCGATGTCCACATGTCCAGCGAAAGACAGATGCGCCCTGGGATACCCTCAATTAATTTGATGACATTTTGCTTTTCTGCTAGGTAGGTTCCAATGCAGTCCCCTTGGAAATGGTTGAAATCCCTTGCATTAAATCGCGGTTGAATATTCTGTACAAAAGATACAAATCCAGGATTTTCAACCATGTGGGGTTGGTAATCATGCATAATAACCATCCGAGTGAATTCGTGGCAACATCGATCCTGATCAAACATAATATAAGATGAGTTGGGACTTCTATAACGTCTTTTTGGTGGATCACTTCCTTTGGAAGCTGGGGTGGACGGCGTTAAATGACTTTTGTCCTGATTGCGTAGAAGTGCAGCACATATTCCCTTAGCAATATGCCGTTTTAGGTGACTGGTACCGGCTACTTTTGAGCCCGTACTATATGCAAAACTCTGCTTGCATTGCTTGCAATACGCCCTTCTACATCCAGCACTTACATTTTCTATGGTAAAGTGCTCCCAGACTATGGACTTCTTTTTCCTCCTTTTGCCAGGCTGTTGGTCTGTGTTGGTCAGTGCACCATATTCATCAGAGTTTGGCGTTTTATCCATATAGGGAGTTAACATCATTTCATGAGGTGTATCCATTGCAAACCGAAGAAAGAACTCCTGCTACAAAATAACCATCTACATTTAGACAAGGATATCTACAGCCTATAAGGTTGAAGTGTAGATCACAGGAAAGCATAATTATCGGGAGATTAAGAAACAACCAGAAAAGTAGAGGTAACAAAGGATGAAAACCTTTTAGTTTCAAATTTGTACAAAGATACTACATAGCCTGGCCTTATAGTTAATTGCAAAATGTTTCAGAGTTAACAGTCCAGTATTGGCCTAACAGCCGCATTCGATTAAAAATAATGAAGTTAAGAAATTTACAAGATCAGTGCAGCAAACCTCTGGATGAATCTAGGAAAATAGTACCAAGAAAATACAGAATTACTAGCTATAGAACATGTGAAAAGGCTAAAGAAATTGAAATAAAACATATGGTTCTATACACTTAAAGGTTAAATTACAAAGTTTTTAGTCGTTGACCTTTGCAATTTGTGTCTACTCGATCTCTGAACTTTGAAAAGTGTTTAATGGACCCCAAAACTTTCAATTTTGTGTTTAATAGATCTCAAAATTTTCGATTATGTCATAGGTTGTATATTGAAAAACATAGCCAGACGAAAATCATCTTAGTGTAACTTTTGAAAGTTCATTAGTAGTTTTGACAACTAAAGATTATTTTTAAAAAAGTTTAAGAGTACTCATGAAACTTCTTAAAACTTGAAGGTATTTGAAACACATTAAAGTTAAAAGATATTTTTTGAAATCTTTTTAAAAGTTCAAGAGTATTTTTTAAAAAAATTATTAACAACTTAAATTTATTTTTTAGACTTTTTGAAAGATTAAAAGAACTTTTGAAAGTTGCATTTTTTTTTTTTTTTTACTAAAGTCAAAAGGGTATTTTTATTTATTCACACTTTATAGACAGTTATACAAGTAAAAGAACGAACTTGGTGTACAATGGGCCGTACGAGTGGATCCGGGGCCATTGAAGATGACGTGTCAATCTTAGCCAGAAAAAAAAAAAAAAGCCTAACCAGGAACCAGACCACATCCTTAATTAATCAAACGCAAAACTCCCCCAGCCCATCGTGGAGCCCACGTGGGATCCAGCCAGGTAAAAAATAACCTTCTTTTTTTTTTTTTTTTTAATAATTGCGATAATTTCTCCCACGGGCTAATGAAAGGTAATTCGAAGTACGATCTAGGGTTTGGTTCATCAAGCTTTGGGCTTAATTTCCAGCAAACAGCCCAGATCAAAGGAAAACCCATAAAATCGAGAAACAAAAACAATCCCGATGATTCCCCAAACACAGAATCGGCTGCGCCTCTAGAATTCGAACTATGAAATGAAACCATAACGAAACAAGAAGCAAATCCAACGCCAAAATCCCAAACACAAAAAGAAAATAAAGGTTTTTTGCGAACGAAAATTCTAGAGAAATCGAGCGAGAAAGGCAGAAGGAAATTTACCGGAAATTAAGACGGAGAAAAGGAAGACGAAGAGTTCTTCAATGAGCGTTGCAAGCCCAGCGACGGAGCTTCAGGGCCGGCGATAGATTCAGATCTAGGGTTTTACTGGAGAGAGAGAAATTGGGCTTTGAGCTAAGTGGACCGAGAGAGAAAGCAGAAGGAATTGGGGGAAAAGAAATCTAAATCGAAATCGAAATTAAGACGGTCCCTTTGGGTGCCTATTGGACTCCCTTTAGGGTCCAATATTGTTTTTATTTATTTATTTATTCAATTTTCTCATTAATAAATAAATAATATATATATATATATATAATATAACTCGTCTCACTCTCTCATAATTCCATTGTCTGAGCCCATTCATTGTCGGTCTCACAGGATTGACTTATTAATAATATTTCATAAGTATTTTTTAAATATAGTTATAACCTTAATGGTATTTTTGAATTTTTTTTAAAGTTTAAACCGTAAATTGGTTTAGCTATTTCTCTTTTTCTTCTCTCTCTCATTCACCTATTGTTTCCCAATTCCATTGTCTTATTCGGGTTCATAAGGTTTAAGGAAAGATTAATATTCGACATTACTCGTTCACCTCTCTTTTCTTTTTCTTCGTAAATTAAATAGGCTTTAAACAAAGAAATAGAATTGACTTTACAGGAGAGTCAAATAGATAGCTTGAGCTCACTTCATACGAATCAATCTTCACCTTATTCTATATTACCAGATTGAACAGAAAAGGCAGATGAGAGTCAGAAAAGAAGAATTGGGGTAGAACGGGGGATTCATCCAACTTAACTTCTCCCCAGAACCTTATACTCTATGACCTGCCTGAGCTAAAGATATTTATGAAACATGGTCTCTAAAGAGGTAGTCTGGGGGCCGTTTCGTAGGCATTAGGGCATTGTTTTTGCTTTATATGTTGTTTGTTGTCATTGTTCTTAAAAAATGTTGTTTAAATGGACACTAACTCTAGTGAAAGAGTGGGGAA